TCTGCCTGGCTGAGGCTGGGACTTGCATCCACATCAGGCAGGCAGGAGGGAGGGACTTCATTTGGGGGGCTTGGTGGGGGGTGCAGGGAGTGCCTCTATGGTTTGTCCTTCACCCCCCCATCTGGGAAGTCCCAGGGGGCTGAGGGTGAGAGAGACATCCAGGATGGCTTGCCATGGAGAGACCCCCCCATCCCTGCCCCAGGGTAGCCCACTAGAGTCCCTTACTCTTTAGCTTAAGGCTGAGCAGACCCTGATATGCTGCCCAGCCCCCCTGGCCCTGTCCTCTCGCTCCCCACAGAGAAGTGCTTCAGAAAATTGCAAATGTAGCCCAGAGCGTGTGCAAGAAGCACCAGTAAAAGGGTGTAGCAGGCAGATCCCATTGTGTTGGCCATAGCACACAAAGGATCAACGTGAATCAACCTCCCACCCAGAAGTGAATCCAGCCCTCAGGGCCCCACTCCTCCTACCCTTACCACCCGTTGCTCCAGGCAGTATGCTGGCTCTCAGACCTCCTGCGGCCCAGAGCCGGGCCTCTGCAGTCAGGACTCAGACCGCTGTCTGTTTTATTTTTTGAACAGTTTAACTGGCCTGTCCTTCACACAGCAGACAGCTTCCTCGTTCAATCACGTTAAGCATCGTGCCATCAGGACCACAATCCATTCCAGGGTGCTTTCTTCGCCTGCTCTTTGGTGTGGGCTCCCCCATCCTCTCCTGCCACGCCCCTCGCTGGACAAGGATCAATTCAGGCGCTTTCTCTATAGATCCATCTCTCTTGAATTTCACATATGGAAAATCATACAAAAATACAAGCAGGGAATGAGCAAACGAGCAAACAAAACCCAACAACAATGATGAAGAAACACAGTAAAACTTCATTCGAAAAGAGAACAGAAAGTTAAAAACGCTAACAGCTTTTAAACTGTCAAGAGGGAGAGCAAACGATGGGGTGTCCTCTTGTAACCTAACTACACTTGCCCTGATCGATTCTACCACACTCTCTGCCCGAGAGTAAGGCCTGAGACATCTGACATCCTGGACTATGGTGGGGTGGGACTCACTGCCGGCTTCATCCCCGTGGGGAACCTGCAAATGGGTCTGGGGCCTCCACTGTCGTCCATAGCCTTCTGAAAACTGGGTGCTCACCACTGCACCTCTGATACCATTTCTTCTTTTGGATTTGGAGTTTATTATTTATAATCCTTGGATCACACAGGCTGGTGTGCTTCTTCCATGTGAGCTTAGTCGATGCCTCACTTAGATGGCTGCTTGCTTTAAGGCAAGCCTTTTAGACTCCACTTTGCTATCGTACCCATATCGTCAGGGGTCCGGGCATGAGGGCAAGCAATGAGCAGGGCCATGTCATAAGAACGAATTCGTGCTTAGATTGGGGCTAGAATGAAGTGTGAGGACTCAGGCCTTTAACCCCACCCTCCCTGCAGCCTTTCTCAGACCTTGCAGCCGCCCACAGCTGTGTCTTCCCACAGTTCAAGCAATTCGGCCTTTCTGACCGCCAGCTGGGGAGCTGTCGGGTCTCGTTGCCAGTGGAGACCTACGATCCTTGTTACCTATTTTCAAGTGGTATCACCTGGAAAGATGCAAAGAAACGCCACATCAGAGGAGGCTCAGGAGGGGTCTGGCTTGGGCCCCTATTATGTCAGGGACGTGCCTGCACCCCCACACATGCTTTCCCCTACCCAGGAAGCCCTTTGGACGTCCCTGTTTAGGAACTCTGAGAAGCAAGAAGCAAGGGACATGCGCCCTCCCTCAGGAGGCAAACTGCAGCATTTCATGATACCCACGCCTTCCCCTTGAGGAGCCCTGCTGGCGTAGCTGTTCAGCGCTGGGCTGCCACCAGAAGGTCAGTAGTTTGAAACCACCAGGTGCATCTAGTCTCATACACAGTTCCAGTCCTGGAAACCCACAGGGGGCAGTTCTACCCCGTCCTATAGGGTCACTATGAGTCGGCATCGACTCAATGGCAGTGAGTTTGGTTTTGTGTTTATGCCTTCCCTGCCCCCACCCAATGAGAAGGCACTTAACCCCGAGGCAAAAGTCCCCATAATACTGTGTGGGTGAGCAGGACAGCCTGCCGGACCCTGTCTTCTATGGCCGGCACCCATGACCTCACGGTGCCAGCAACACCCAGTGTGTGTGTGTGTGAGGAGGGTGGGGGGGAGAAGGGGGCGGTGCAGAAGTCTCTGTAAATCCCCTCAAAGGAGTGAGCACCCTTTAGGCGGTCTACCTTGGGGAACCATGCCGTCTGACCCAGGTTAGTCGAAGGTTACGGGACAGGGCCACGGTGGAAATGGCTGTGCTGGGCAGGCTGATGAGATAAATATCAGCCTTTGTGTATGGAGGGCTGGTGTCTAGCCTGCATAACAGCATTGTAAAGCTCCGGGCACAGGCTTAAGCTGAGCCACAGAGAACAATGTAGTGGCTGCCGACACAGCCACTCTCCCATCTCTGCCCCCACCCACCCCCTTCCCAGGGCCTGTGCTTCCTGCCTGCTGCCTGGCTTTTCAGGGCTTAACAGAATCCCTGACAGGCCAGTTTGACTAGCTGTTAGTGCAAGGTGGTCTCACACACTATGGCCTGTGACCCCACATACACATGCTCACATGTACACAAGCACACTATGCATGCATACACACACTACGTGCACATTCACATGCATATGCACCTGTACACACATGCACATGGATGAACACCCACATACACCCACCCACACTTGTGGGGTGATGAGGGGTCCCCCACAAATCATCACGGGTCCGGTAGGCACAATTGTACAGTGATAATAAGTAAAGATTATAGTAAAGTCATAGAGAGCATGAGAGGTAGGGGAGAGATTAGAATAATGGAGTCAGACACAGTTCATGGTAGCATGCTCACCTCAGCCCCGCTTGGTGGTCCTCGTGGGGGGAGCCCGGCCACTAGAGCAGGAGAGAGCCCTAACTTTATTGCTAACCAAGGGTTATATCTCCTTCGGGAGGCATGGTTACAGGTAACACATGTCCCAGGAAGGGGCAGTACCATAGGCATACACATCATAGGAAGGGGGTGTATGATAGGCATAAGCGTGACAGGAAGGGGATGAGCTAGGGGTGTGCCCATAGGAATGGGAGGTCTAGGGTATACATGTGACAAGATGGGCGGACCCTAGATTCATGATGGCAGCCTAACCTTGGTCATCCTTGGGCGGGTTTGACCTCTCTGGGGTCTCCTACAAGGAAATAGACAACTACTATCCTTATCAGAAGGGAGTGGGCCCTATTGTGGAATAAACAGTGGTGGCTGCTTGCTCCAGATGGCTGATAGCTCTTAGGGAGAATGACCCCTGATCTACTCCTGCTGACCTCCAAGTGTATAGTCATTCGCAAGCAGCTAAGTTTGGTTCACGGAGAGTGAATGTGCTGTGGGTTATGCTGCAGGCGCCCCTCTCGCTCCTCTACTAAGCTGTTTTCTGCACGGATCTCATCAGCAGCCCCCACGAGTCATTTCTGCTCTGCGCTTTCGCTTTAAGACAAGGGAAGCGCGCACCTCCGTGTGCCATCGCTCACCGTGAACTCCTGCTCGCGCTGCACAAACACCGCACCCTGTGCTCGGGTTCACGGTCTGAGTCTTCAACCCCAGCCGCGGTTCTGAGAGGTCTTGCACAACCACCGATGAGGAGGGCGGCCGCGAGTCCCGGGTGGGTGGGCTGCCGGGAAAGCTCCCAGTTAGGCCGGAGGATGGCTGGAACCTCGGGGGTGGCAGGTATGAACTGCCCCTCCCCAGGGGTGCCTTCCAGCACCCCCCCCCAAGCCTGCTTGAAGCCCAGTTTCCCCTCACTGTGTTCTCCCTGGGGTCTCTCGGGATGGTCTCCCAAGCGGACCCGTGTGCGAAAGATGGGAAACAAGCTGCGCCCATCTGAAGACCCCTCTGTGGTTGGGCTGCTTGCATTCTCAGTACCGCTGGGGGCGGAGGCCTGGTGGCGCGGTGGTTAAGCGCTCAGCGGCTAACCTAATGGGAAGCCAGTGGTGCTTACCCCCAGCAGCTCCCGGGCAGAAGAGAGCCGGCGACTTGCCCCCTGAAAGTCTGTTGCCGTGTGCCCTCGGGTCGGGTATGACCACACAGGGGGCACTCTGGGTGACAGAGTGGAACCGCCTCAGGTTGACTTGCGCGGCTGAACTTGCTCCAGGTGCAGACGGCCACATCTGTCTCCTCTGGGGCGGCTGGTGGGTTCAATCCCTGACCTTTTGGTTAGCAAATCTCGAGCGGAACCACGATCTCCCTGTGTGAAGATTACAACCTGGGGAGCCACGGGGCTCCCGGGGGCCTGGGCCTCAGTTTCTCCCCTCTGCCAGGTGCGTGTGGCCCACAGGATCTGGGGAGGATGGTGGACCGCAGAACCCTGCAGAGAGTGACGATCCTCCATGCAGACCTAAGCTGAGACCACGTGGGCCAGCGCCACCCTTCACAGCTGGGATTGGTGGGCGCTCCATCCACCCCACTGCCCAGGCCAGCCGGTGTTTCTGCTGACTGGGCCTGAGCTCATGGCTTTCCAGAGCAATCCCTTAATGCCTCCATTCTGCGCTGGTGTATATAGGGTGGCCTGGGTCCCTGCTCCTCACCTTGCAGCCCAGAGCTCCCAGCAGCCTCCTCTCCAGCCTCATCCTGCGGCCCGACATGGACGTCACCATCCAGCACCCCTGGTTCAAGCGAGCGCTGGGGCCCTTCTATCCCAGCCGGCTGTTGGACCAGTTTTTTGGCGAGGGCCTCTTGGAGTATGACTTGCTGCCCTTCCTGTCCTCTACCATCAGCCCCTACTACCGCCAGTCCCTCTTACGGACCGTGCTGGACTCCGGCATCTCCGAGGTGAGGCTCTCTGGCAGGGAGAACCTGGGAGGCTCTGGACCTGGGGGAGACTAGAAGCAGGGATTTCTGAGCCTGGGACAGGGAGGTGCCTGCCCACCTGCTGCTCTGAACATCCCTGCAGGGCGCTGCGGAGCAGATGGTGCAGGCACTGTCCACCGTTCTACCCCTCCTCTGCCCATCTCTTAGCCCAGGAGGCCCTGAGGGCCCCCGGGGACTGGACTGGAGCCGGGCTCGCCCGCTGTCCCTACAGCCACACCGCTGGGGAGGGGGTTGGGAGAGAAAGTCCCCCTGAGCCCAGCGTTCTCTTTCCTCCACCAGCTCATGAGCCACATGTGGTTTGCAATGCGCCAACCACAGGCTGGGAATCCCAAGAACAACCCTGCCAAGGCAAGTCTGGTGGCAGGCGTGGGCTCCCTGTGTCCAGCTGCTTTCCGTCTTTACCTGTCCATGTTGAGGAAGGTCAGGGGCTGGGGTGCACTGCCTGGGACCCAACAGAGTGCAGCCCTCCCCCAACCAGCTCTGTACAGCCCCCAGGCCACGGCTCTCCCCGCCTCTCCCCGCCTCCCTGAGCTACAGTCCATGGTCCTGGCTCAAGAGCGTTCAACACCTGGGGCCAGAAGAGCCGAGAAGGGTGCTCTGAGCTGTGAATGAAGGCACGTGCACGGCCAGGCCCTGGGCAGGCAGTGGGGCATGGTCAACCTGCTATGGAGAGGCAGACAGAGACAAGGGCAGCAACCTGCTACGAAACGTTTAGTCCACCTGGCTCTTTGAGCCATTGCCAGTGAGCTAGCCCATAGCCAGCCACCCAGCCATAAGCAAAAACCACCCACCCCATAGCCAGCCAGTCAACTCTTAATTAGCCACCTCAGCAACGAGCAGCCCCCTCACCCGTAAATGGCCCCTCGACTATAACTAACTAATCAGCCAATTCCCTAATGATCCAACACACCCATAACTAGTCCCTCAACATAACCAATGAGTTACTCCACCCATAACTAGCCAGCTTATCCCTAACTAGTTGTCCAGCTGACCCAGCCAGCCTACCATTGCCAGCCTCAGCCCCCGGGCACCCGGATGACCCACAGTCCCCATCAGCAGTCCTCCGAGTGGCCCCCGACTGGAGTCCCCCAGAGGTGCTCCTGTGTGCTGGTCAGAGCAGCCCAGCCTCGGCCAAGCCCCGGGGAGTGAGCTACACCTCCCTGGGGTTGCAACCCCCGGGGGTCCACATAGAGCCTTTGGCTTGCAGGTGAGGTCTGACCGGGACCAGTTCCTCATCCTCCTGGACGTGAAGCACTTCTCCCCCGAGGACCTAACGGTGAAGGTGCTGGAGGACTTTGTGGAGATCCACGGCAAACACAGTGAGCGGCAGGTGAGCACCACGCACCGTCTGCTTGGGGCCCAGCCTGGGGGGGGGGGCTCACCAGCTCCTCTCTGCAGCCGAGGATTCTCTACAACATGTGGTTCAGGCAGCAGCACCTTCTCCAGCTGGCTCTCCGCTGCAGGGGTGCCTCTGACCAGACCCCTTCTTGCTGCCTCTCACCCCACAGGACGACCACGGCTACATCTCCCGGGAGTTCCACCGCCGCTACCGCCTGCCCACCAGCGTGGACCAGTCGGCCCTCTCCTGCTCCCTGTCTGCCGACGGCATGCTGACTTTCTGTGGACCCAAGGTCCAGTCCGGCACGGACACCACCCACAGCGAGCGGGCCATCCCCGTGTCTCGGGAGGAGAAGCCCACCTCTGCGCCTTTGTCCTAGGCGCCACCCTCTCGGTGCCCCCCCCCCCTGACATAGTCACACTGGGGTGGGGATGGGGGAGCTTAGGAATGGCGTGGGCATCTGTTCCCCTCTGCGTCCCTCTTCTCTGTTCCCTTTCCCTCCTCTCAGATGGCACCAGGTTTGAGATTGGCTGTTAGAGTTCAGGACCCTGGCCTGAGGTGCTGGGACCCTTGAGGAGACCCCCATCTGACGGGCCAGCAGCAGTGACCACCATCTCACTTCTCCAGTTCATGCTCTGGTCCTCCCAGGGACGTGCCAGCGCCAGCCCCACCGAGAAGCCAGACCGAAGTTGATGAGCCCGGCCTGCATGGAGGGGGCTGGGTTTCCCCTGTGCCAGTTCACCCTCTCCTCCACCCTGCAGAAGGGGACCCAGTGCCAGGAGTGTGGTGTGGTGCAGTGGGGAGGAAATGCCCCATTGAGGTCCTGCAGGATGGCTTCTGGCTTCCTAGCCAGGTGTATCTCCATCAACTCCCCTTGGTAGTACCTGCCTCAGGCCAGATGTGTGCCCTGCCCAGCTGTGCCCAGGTGTTGGGCCTGGCGCGGCACAGCCTGCTTCTCTCAGACCATCTGCCCTTGAAACTTCTTCCCTCTGTGTAGCACCCACCACTCTGGGCCACCCGTCACCTCGTGAGCTCGAAGCCCGGGGCCATCAATAAAGCAGGTGACATGCAGCAGGTGTCTGTGTGCTCTGTCCCCACCCACACATCGCCTTGGTGTCACCAGGGCTAGCTGCCCTCCCTCCGCTACACAGCCCCTTCGTGGTGACTTTGCAGGATGACCAGGGTTAGGGGTGAAGACTCAGGCCATCGAAGAGCCGCGGGGAGGATTTCCAGGGCAGGAGGGACAAGGCACAGGCATGCCTCTTCACGCCTCTGTGGTCCAGGGGCTAGGCTGTGGGGCGCCTGCCTGCGTGGAGGGGCCGGGCTCCTGGGATACCTTTATTCTCTGCAAGGTCAGCAGTTGGAAACCACCAGCGGCTCTGAGGGAGGAAGGCAGGGCTTTTCGGCTCCCCTCAAGGTCACAGTCTCAGAAACCCTCAGGGGCAGTTCCAACCTGTTCTCAGGGGTGCTGTGAGTCGGCATTGATTGGACAGCAGGGAGTTTGGGCTTTTGGTTTTTCTACCTGCCCCCCCACCTCCTGACTCCTGACTCCCCAGGATCCCCTTCTCTCTAGGACCTTCTCTCTATTGTTCCTTAAGGGACGAGGGATGGCTGGCCTGGTGGTTAGAAGTCAGATACACAGATACCCCCCCTCCCCCCCAGGATCACATCGAGGGCTCACCACGCAGGATTAGGTCCCTGACCCTCCCTGTGGACCAGACATGGGGCCGTATGTCACGAGTGGTGTGATCAATAATTACTTAATACTCTTTGACATTTTCGAATGCTCGGTTTATTCACTGCAAACAAACATCAAATACTCTAAGCATCCTAATGTTAACTCAAATTATAATATCAAATCAAACAAATATGTACAGGGGCAACACACTACATTATTATTTCAGCATCACAGTCCCAATCAGCATTGCCTTCACCGGTGTGCTCATCCGGGTAGAGTTGGAGAGCGTAGGAGTGGATGTCTCCTCTGAAAACTCAGTGCCTCTACCTGGGTTCATATAGGCAATTCAGCTGGCTCCTTGACGTCATTCTCGGCGCCCAGCCAAGCCTTATTGGGGTCCCCCAGACTTTCTGGGGTGGCTCTTCAGACCAGCTGTTGGTTCTTGGCAGTGGTCCAGCATTTGAGCTTGGCCTAAATATCATACTTTCATTTCTTTTCCAAAATGGAGTTTCTTGTGCTTACATCTTATAAGGTAGTTAGTTCAATGTCTTGCAAGGAAGTTCTGAAATGCTCTTATCACCCTGGGGATTTCTGAGGTGTGTGTGTGTGGGCAGGGATGGGTGGGCATGCCTGTACTTCAGAGTGGGTCAGCCCTCTTAGGGATGGGGAGCCAGGCAGGGCCTCCCATCTGGGGAAGGAGAAGGAACCTCAAGTTTAGAGACACTAGGGTGACTCCCTGCAGGGCCCAAGGCATGGGTGCTTCCGGGGAGTGGAAGGGCACTGTGTGGGTTGTGGGGGCACCTGCAGTGCCGTGGGCTCAGTGAGAGCCACACTCCCCTCTCCTGTTTGCGTGGGGCTCACGGCCTGCAGGTTAGGCCCTCACATGCCCGCTCTGCCTCCTGAGATAATGTCTGTATGTGTGTGTGTGTGTGTGTGTGTGTGTGTGTG